CATCGTGGCCAGATTTCATAACTTTTCTGCAATTTTTGGCTATTAGCACAGTCCAATTCTGGTGTTCAAAAATTGGTCCTTTAGGTCTAAAACTTAAATCTCACATCCACCGCCATGCCATTATCCTCTCTTTGCCCCCAAAGAGGGTGGAGCTGCACAGGAAGGGGCCGTTGCTTGGTTCTCAGACATTTTCTCTGCCTCCTCCCCTTTGACTGTGGGTGCACGAATTACACTATAAGCTTGCCCTTAGCCCTCTCATCAGGACTTGAGCTGCAGAAAGTTTGCCATTCCCTGCCCACATGACTGGACTTTATTTACCTTTTCTCCAGTATCCTTGTAAACACTGATACTGGCTTTTTCGTCCAAAGGATAACGATTCCCCTCTCCTGCTGAGATCTCAACGAGTCTTGACCATTATTCTTCATGTTATTTTATTCAAGTCCTTGGGAAAAATGTTTAATGTAAGCAATCTCTGTTCTTCTCCCAATCCTCTGAGTTACATGTGAACTGTCAGTTGTTACGGGTTGTTAAACCCTAGCCATTTATTGTCAGGGTTATTTCAAACAAAGTGCTGTACCAGAGGGGTTGGCTTTCCTTTTTTTTCTGGTTTGTCTTAATTTGAAGGGTGTGGAAATGAAATTGTCAAAGACGTCAGCACATATTGTCACCCCACCTCCCATCCTATTCTTTGCTTTTCCTCTGTTTTCCTAATCTGTAGTTTTTCTCCTGTCCTTCATTGCTTTCTTTAAAATATTACATTCCGTCTGAAACTGTATGTAAATCCACCGAAATCACTGGCAGCTGGAACTGTGTGCGTGTGTGTGTGTGAGTGTGTGTGTCTGTGTGTGCCCATGTGTGTTTTCTCATTAGCTGCTTCTTTCTGTAGAGTTAAAACCCTGTATCTGGGCGGTGGCATGTTGAACAGAAAGGCACACTAAGTACTAAATAATTTACTTCTAGCCCTTCCAAACACTGCCATATTCTCTGGTGACAGGGGCAGCAGTGGTGATTATATTTGTAGACTTGTCTTCTTTGTCAAAACTGGCAGTGGCTTTTTTGACACCATTGAAAGTGATAGTGACAGTACCGAGTCCTTGGGGTGGCCCATGTGTGTTTTTAAATTTTTTTAAGAAAAATAAATGTCACAGTACTGTGGAGACAATCATATTACTGGCACTTAAAATCATAGCTCACCATGCCATGGTAGAAATAACTTGGGACGACAGATCTGACTTTGATTAAGAATACTGTGAGAAACAGACGAGATCAAAACCATACATTTTTAAGTACTTCTCCCGAGTTCTCTCCCACTAACTCCATCGGGTACAGCTACTCCGGCTATGAGCTGGACAGATGTAAAATATGCCTGCTTCACTTTATGCCCTCTTCGAGGAGATAGTTTGGGATCTATAATTGGTAACTTCTCCACATGCCAGGCAACACAGATTTTTGGATGACTCTGAGAGCTAACGTGGGAACCTACAAGTGGGAAGGGACAATTCAATACCATTTGACTTGAGATTTTGAAGTAAAACTCTCACTTAACTACCAGCCAAGGAAGGCCATATGCTGGAAGAAGCACACAAATGAAAAATGAAAAGACATTCACTCACTTGTATTCCATATACCCTTGGGCACAAACACTTTATTTCACAATTTTTGAGCTTACTTGACCATCATATATATCACTGGAAGGAGATAGTGAATTTTGTTTCTGTAACTGAGCACTCCTTTTATCATTGTAAAACAAGCGGAATGCCAACCCAGAGGGAGAAATTACACCATGGTACAAAATATACCGAGCCCTTGAAATGGGGTCCCACTGTAAACTATTAACAATATTTGCCAACTAACTGCTCTTCTAACTGAATGAGAAGAGCATGACTACGTGCACTCTGGGGAAGAAAGGTTGAGAGTGTGGGCATGGTTACAATAAATCTTTCTAGTTTTTTAGACTGGAAGTCATACGTTTCCTCTTCCTTTGGGACAGAAGAAAGTCTACTACCCTCGCTTTATCACCAACCCTGGCTCATCATGGCTAAATTTTCCAATATATTTCTAACTCACCTATCTTCTCCCATTTTCTTCTCTCTCAATCTTCCTTTTCCATTCTATATATTAATATCAAATAGACTAACTTTCCTAAGTTCTACTTATCTCAACACTCTTATGCTTGAGAATCAAAGATGGTTCATTGTTGTCCATCAAATCAAGTCCAGCCACTTTAGCTTGGCACTTTACCTCTCAATGGTTTCCCTGTCCACCAGCACCTGTCTTCATTACCGTATCTTCATTTTATTCTGCACATTTCACAGTGTTTTCCCCACTTCTCCATCTTAGCTCTTCACCACCCGGAGGGTATCCTCATCCATTTTGCTCCCTTCCACAGTATTTCCCAACTGTGTTGCTTCCAGAGATTCTGCTATGCCCCTCATTCCTTTACCCCATTAAAAAATTATGGTTTTTATCTTACTAGCTAGGGATTTATAAACTTGTACTTCCCTGGATTAATATTATGAAAGTAAATATCATTGATCTTTTTAAAAATATAAAATTATCATATTGAATATGTATTTTTCAAATGACGTGCTTTCTCTCTACCTCAAAGAAGTTACATTCTCCTTCCTTTGGAAATCACAAATAACTATAGTTCGATTCTATACTCCTCTCATGTCAGCATTATTTTAAACTTCCCTAAATGTCATCTTTCATTGTTTTTCTTCTTTGAACTCTTACTGATGTAGGATAGATGTTGGGGTTTGGAGCCGACGGCCAAGAAAAAAATTCTTGAGACGTCTTTGGTGCAAAAAGGTGGTTTTATTAAAGCCTGGGACAGGACCTGTAGAAAGAGCTGCACCAGGGTCATGAGGAGTGGCTGATTATATCTTTCAAGTTGGGAGGGGGTTAGGGATAGCTTAAGTCTCTAAGGAATTTTGGAAGCAAGGTTTCTAGGACTCTGAGGGGCTAGCTATTGTTAGGAAAAGGTCATTTATTACTGCCTAATAAAACTTTAGTCATGAGACCCTTCAGATGTATATTGGTGGGGAATATGCTTGGGGGATGATTGCCAACATATATCTTGGGGGGTAGAGATAAAGGAAGTTTCCAAAGGAATTTTTATATGTTAAAGTAGACTTACAGGATCCTGGGGGGTCAGGCTAAGATTGCCTTGAGGCAGCTGAGTTCCTAGAGGTCACTCTGCCTGTTTCAAGGACTTGTCAATGGGCTGTAAGTAGTAAGGAAATTTAATTTTTCTTTTCTTTGTTTCCCACATCACTATGGCACTTATAAGTGACACACATTTATTTATTACTTATTTCTTGTGTGTTATTTTTAATTCTTCAACAAAATGGGTAAACTTCTCAAAAACATGCCATGTCATATTTCTCAATAGTTCTCTCTAGCCTAATGCCAGGCATATGATAAATGTTTACGTTTTTATTATCAATTCATTCTGCTCAAGAATTAAAAATTTCTACCATAAAAATGTATCTTTCTGAATTATGTCTGCCTGCCAGTGTTTGTAAAAACCAAATACAGTGACAATCCATGTATTTAAATAAGGAAAATTACAGTCTCCAGGCTTTGGGCAAATTTTGTACACATGCAAAAATACTCAGAAAAATCATATTAGGGATAATGAACTGTATGTTTCTGAGTTGAATGAGATTTTCAAGGTAATCACTACCATATATTTAGTGGCAAGCCCTCTCAGTGCTTAACAGTTTCTGGGAATCTGTGGATGGTTTACTCATTAAGCTGTTGCTTACAATCTATCCCAATTTGTTTTTCTACACTAAGTTATCCTTTCACAAATTATCCCTTGTTCAGGAAAAAAATGTGTATGAGAAATACTTTCCACTCATCTTGCCAAACCTGTTAAGAAATATTCCATTTGTTCTTCCAAAGCTAATGTTTACCTTTTCTAATAGACATGACTTTCATCTGAAGTCTGATATTTTAGAATTTTTCATTTACCACTTGAAGGGGAGCAGAATATGTCACCCTAGAATGTGCCACTTTAGCATGCAAATTATTTTGAGCTGAAGACAGTTGAGGCCTAAAGGACTCAGGAAGAGGTTTTTCACCATCTCCTTATATGGGCTAAAAACTGCCTAAAAGAATTTAGGTAAAGGGCCTGGTCCAGGAAGAGAGCTAGCACTAGATACAACAAAAGAGTATGGGCTAGGTGTGATAAGCTGGGGGGAGCTTGGCCTGTTTGCTCAAAATCTTCTCTGTGTCCCAGTGTGTCTGCATAGCATGACAGATGTTTATTTACCAAACATTTGCTCTTTCCATCTTCCTGTGAATTGTCTTCCCTCTCTTTGAAACCTCAGACCCCTACCCACTCCTCATTAGCTCAGGATGGTACATAAGCCTTGATTGCCTAACTGTCTATGAGCCTCTCAAGTCTTTGTGGGGCTCCCATACATATGACATTTGTTTTTTTCCTGTTAATCTGTCTTATGTCAGCTTAATTAATAGACCAATCAAAAGAACCTAATAAGGTAGAGTAAAAAAATTTCTTCCCCTACACACCTTAGAAGCAGTATCTTGCCCAAGTTACATAGGTATTCACCACCACTATTTTCACTGATTTCTGTAACAAATATGATTATGAAACAAATCACTGGAATATACTGATAAGAAATAAATTATTTTCAAACTACTGTAGCATGCATCTATTATCATATGTGGACAAATCTATACTGTTAGAAGAATGCTAATTTTTTTTTTTAAAGAAAACAAGTTTTGTTTTCTAAATACAGTTCCGTAATGTATTCAGAAATGATATTCTCCTATTCTTGGTTTTAAATCACTCAAGGAAAAACAAACACCTTCTGGAATTTTATTTACTCATATGAGTTTTGAAATATATTACTCAATAGTAGTTTTTTTTTTCTTTTTAGGGAAAAAAACGTGTTATTTCATCTCTTGATCATTCAAACAATTATTATAAATATACTTGCTCTTTCATAGAGCACCAGGCTGACCTCATATATGTGTAATAAATGGTCTTCAAAGATAATGTTTTTAAGCATTTTCTTAATTTATATTATTGGCTCACCAACTATTCCCAGGAAAAATGAGGTGGAATACTTCCAAATATGCCCTTCTCACCTTCCTCCGCACACCTCCCTGTCTGCCAAAATCTTGTTTTCACAGTTGTATTTTGTTACTGATGCTCACTCTGTGTGGTCCTTTCTAATAAGGAAATAAAGAAATACCCCTATTGATTTTCTCTCTTATTGTAATCCTAGACTCTTGGGAAATTGGAGGGCCAGTTATTTGCTCTGTCTCTTCCTTTCTTTCTTTCTTCCCCAGATCTGAGCCTATTGGGTGGAAACCATATTGGTGCCTCATGACTGGGGAATGGAATAGATGTTCATCTCATGCTTTTCTCTAGGAATGTCTGTACCTGCAGTCTAACCATCATGGCTGAACTGTCAGATTAGTCAGTGAAACTGTTGGTTCTTTTGAATGAATTAATTGGATGGTTAGCCATAGTGGCAAGCCACAGTCCTGAACTAACAGGGTAAAATGGTGGTTCTTACAAGGATAACCTAAATTATTTACAGAAAAATGTAGAGCAGTGTCATGGTCTGTATATATCCTGGAAAATACAGACCTAATGTCATCTGGCTCTGCCATTGCACAGATAGGATGTTAATTGGACAACATTCCTGCTTTTAATTTAGCACTCGGATGTACTATGTGAGTAAAGGTTTAAATGGAATATTTCTAAAGTATTACTGTGTTGAACTATATTCAAATTTGGAGAAAAAAATCAATTCTTTTTAGAGTAAGGGCAATTGAAAATTTAAAACAACAAAATGCTAGAAATTATGAGTTTAGCTTAAAACTCTGTCATTAACACATCCCTTTGGAATAAAACAGAGAACAATGCATTCTCACACTGCTACTGTGCCCTTTGTTCTGCAATCCTAGAGCACTTAACAATGAATACAGTTAAAATTAGCATCAAAGTAGATTTCCTAAAGGAATTATTGTAGACAAATGGAAACAAAACAAATCAGCTTAAAGTTTAGATTGAAGAAATTAACCATGGGGATTTTCTTTATTTCATTTCACAATGTCTTCCAAGTCAGAGGCCAGGTGCCTACAGATTTAAAACTGAGTTAGAATTTGGCTGGTAGTAACAGCAAACACGACATAACTGATCTTCATACAGTATATTATGTGTAGGCACCTACTGCTTAGATAGATACATTAACTTCTTCTATCCTCACAATGATCCTATAAGGTAGTGTATTAGTTTCCTTGCACTGCTGTAACAAATTGCCAAAAAATTGTAGGTTTAAAACAGCAGAAATTGGGGTGCCTGGGTGGCTCAGTCAGTTAAGCGGCTGCCTTCGGCTCAGGTCATGAGCCTGGTGTCCTGGGATCGAACCCCACATCCGGCTCCCTGCTCAGCAGAGAGCCTGCTTCTCCCTCTCCCTCTGCCTACTTGTGCTCTCTATCTCTCTGTCAAATAAATAAACAAAATCTTTAAACAAAACAAAACAAAAAAACCAGAAGAAATTTATTCTCTCACAAATCTGGAGGCTAGAAGCCCAAAATTCAGCAAAGATGCACTACCTCTGGGGCCTCATGTGAAGAATCCATTCTTTGGCTCTTCCCCGCTTGTGGTGGCTGTTGGGATTCCTTGACTTAACAGCTGCATCACTCCAATCTCTGTCTGCGTGGTTACATTGGCTCCTCCTCTTCTGCCTGTGTGTCCTCTGGGAGTCTCTTATAAGGATACTTGTACTGATTTAGGGCTCGCCTGAATATTCCAGGAAAATGTCCTCATCTCAAGGTCTTTAGCTCAATTACATTTACAAAGACCCTTTCCCAAATTAAAGTAACATTCACAGGTTCCAGGAATTAAGACATGGACATACCTTCTGGACCACCATTCAACACACTATAGGTAGATAGTATTATTACATCCATTTTACAAATGAAGAAAATGAAGCCTACCAGCTAAAGTTTGTTGGACTATGTGCCAGGCATCAATCTAAGTCTTGTGTATACACTATACTATCTATTTAATATTCATAAACATCCCATGAGGTAGGTACAATTATTATTATTGGCATTTTACAGATAACGAAACTGGGGCTGTCTGAGAATTTGCTCAATATTACAGAGCTCGTAAATGGTGAAGCCAGGATTCAAATGCAGGACTAAATTATTCCAGAGCCTACACACTGAAACACTGAGCCACCCTATTCCTCCAACTTCCATCATCTACACTGAGAGGATCAGCATTGTGGGAACCTTACAAGATGTTGAGGTAAAGTATTAGACTTAAAATTCCTACTCTGTTACTTATTTGCAAGCACCACGACCTTCTGAAATTAGCTTCCTTATGCATAAAATAGAAATGTTATTTATAATAATTTATCTCTTTCACAAGCTGCCCTTCCCACCCTATGGTGCTAAATTTTTGTCATGAATGTTACTAAGGAATAATTCAAGCACAAAAGACTGCACCTGCTTAAATTGAACACATTGTTCAAATCAACGTGTTTTGAAAGTTGTATGGACCCCTAAAGCCACTACCACAATCAAAACACAAAAGATTTTCTTCACTTCAAAAAGATGGCTTCTGTCCACTTGAAGTCTATCTCTTCCCATCTCTGGCTCCAGCCAATCACTGCTCAGCCTTGGCGTTTTATAAAAACTCAATCATGCAATATGTACTCTTCTATGTCTGGCTTCTTTCACTGAGCATGTTATCAAGACTCATCCACATTGTCACATGCATCAAAAAGTCATGCCCTTTTTAATTGCCAAGTAGTAGTCCATTGTATGACTATAACACATTTTGTTTGTCCACTCATGTGTTGATGGACATTTGGGGTTTTTCAAGTTGTTGCCTATTGTAAACAAAGCAGCTAGCTATAAACATTTGTTTACAAGTGTTTGTGAAAACATGTTTTCACTTCTCTTGTGTGTATTTTCATTTCTCTTGTGTTGATTTTTAGGAGTGAAATGTCTGGGTCTTATGAAAGGTAGAAGTTTAAATGTTTAAGAAACTGCTAAAGAGTTTTTCAAATAAATTACACCAAAATACATTCTGACCTAATTTGGTAAACTGGGTGTTTCTGGGGAACAAGAATGGATGAGAAGATATTGAAGTAGTTCAGGTAGAAGATGGAAAAGATTAAACTAATGGCGTAGTTTTAAGGATGGAGGACTTGTCTTTAAGAACTATCTTCCTTAGAGGAAAATACGTACAAGACCTGGTGATTTACTGTTTATTAAATGTATGCAGTGAGGAATGAATCAAGAATGACTTCTATTTGCTAGTAAAGCCGGTGGTCTCAACTTGAGCTTAAACTATACCTATATCTGGTTTTAAGACAAGCTCATGATTGTCTTATGGACAATAATTCAACAAAAGTCTATTTGTGGGAGAGACACAGGCACCGCTTGAAAGTTAGAGTGTCAGAAAGGAAGGGTATAGCAGTCAGACTCTCAGATTTGATTCACTAACAAAGACTTATTTGTTAGAGGGAGGAATATAGCTTATTTTCTATCTCAGACTTATCTTTGGCCCCTTTTAATTTGGACTATTCTGTAAGTTCTAGGGGGAAATACCATTTAAGTAAAAACTCTGCAAAAGCTGTTAAGCACCAAAACCCATTACCATTTGGCACCCTTTATTTTGTCTGATATTTGTTCCTCTGTTCCTCCTTTCCTACCTTCTCTTGAATTGATAGAATCTTTTTTTCATATTCAATTTTAATTCCTCTTCTGTCTTTTAGCTATATCTCTATGCATTTTTAAATGGTTGCTCTAGGGATTACATTATGCATCATTAACTTATCACAGTCTATTTAGAATTAATATTCTACTACTTCTCATAAATTATAGGAAACTTGGAAAGCATAGTTCCACATACCTTCTGCCCTTTGTGCTAGTGTCCTATATATCAACATATGTATAAACCTCATAACACAATTATGTTTCCTTTAAATAGTCATATGATGTTTAAATTGAGAGAATAAAAAATACATATAATAATTTCCCACATATATGTCATTTTTGGAGTTCTTTACTTCCTGAAGATTAGAACTTCTATCCAGTGTCTTCACCCTTCTGCCTGAAGAACTTTAACATTTTTCGTAGCACAGATCTGCTGGTGGCAGATTCCATTATCTTAAATATGATCTTAAGTTATCTGAATATTTCTTGATTTACCTTTCATTTTTTGAGGGATATTTTCACTGGAAATAAAATTCTAGGAAATAAAAATCTAGTAAATAGATTTTTACTTTATTTCCATTACTTTGAAGATGTAATTCAATTGCCTTCTGGCCTCTGTTTTGTTGTCATTGTTGTTTGTTTTCTGGATAGAAGACAGATATCATCTATAACATTGGTTTCATGTATGTAATGTGTTTATTTTCCTCTGGATGTTTTCAAAAATTCTTCTTATCTTTAGATTTCAGCAGTTTGACCACAGGTACTCAGTGTGATTTTCTTGGTATTTATTCTTCACGAGTCTGTTGAGATTCTTGAATCTATAAATTGATGTTTTTCATCAAATTCAGGAAATTTTTGGTCATTATTTATTTAAACAGTTTTTTTCTGCTCTATCTTCTTCTGGGACTCCAATAACATGTATATTAAACTGCTTGATTTTATCCTCCCATTCATTAATATTCTATTAATTTTTCTTCAGTTTTTTACTCTGTGTTCTTCAGAATAAATAATTTCTGTTGATCTGTCTTTAAGTTTACTGACTCTTTCACCTGCCATCATCAAACTGCTGTTGAATCAAATCAGTATATATTTTTATTTCAGTTATTGTACTTTTTCAGTTCCAACTTGGGTTTTTCTTTACAGTTCCTTTTTTCTGCTGGGATTTCCCATTAGTGCATTTATTATATGTTATAATGTGCTATAATGTTATTTAAGTCCTGGACATATTTATAGTAATTGCTTGCCTGCTTAATTCCAAATATGGGTCATCTTTGGGTCAGTTTCTGCTCTCTTCTCTTTTTCCTAAATATAAATCACTTCTTCCTATTTTTTAGATGTTTACTAGTTTTGGGTTGTGTGCTGGACATTGATATAATATGTTATAAAAATACTTGATCTTCTTGTATTTCTCTGAAGTCTGTTTACTTTGTTCTAGCTGGCAGCTGATCTGGCTGGAGTCAAACTTTGGACTCGGTCTATGCTTCAGTAGGTAATAGTTGAACTATTGCTCAGTTCTTCCAGCTCCAGCTAATGCTTCCATCATGCCTCTTGGAGTCTCTTTATAGTTCAGGGGTCAAGCATATATCCACAATTTTGTGGATTACTTTCTCTGGGGTTCCATCTTCTTCAGGATTTCCCCTGTCAACTTTCCAGCTGCTCTATTAATCCCAAACTCTGTATTCTACAACCTCAAACAGGTAAGACTGAGGCTTACTGAAACTTTTTGCTGCCACCAACAATGTGTACTGGAGAGTGCCCTTAGTCAAAAAGCCATGAACTTATAAATCTCATCTAGGTCAGTTAAGTTAAATCTTACCTGGTCTCTCATGGATTGACTACCCTCTAGCTTTTACCTTATTTTTGGTTATTTTCCAGTGTATTCAAATGGAATTTTCTTTTTAATATTTTGTCGAAATTTTAAGTTGTTATCTGTGGAAGGATTAGTTCAACCGAACTACTATACCATTACCTAAAGCTGGATGATGCATCTGGCACCACTTCAACAGTTTATAATATAAAAGAGAAGGCAGGTATTTCTTCCCCACTTGCCTTAGCACCCCATGAAACTTTAGTGCATCAGCAGCCTTATTTATGCTGGTACATCAGCAATACCTACAATGTCATCTCTACAAAATATCTATTAGCATCTCACAGAATATACTTTGAGAAAGACATGCTATCTTTTAAGTTGAATATTAGGTTGGTATTTTGGGGTTTGATGTCATCTATCTACTCCATTATATCATAAGCTTCTCTTTTTCACCCTTTGCCTCCTTAGCAATGATTAAAGCACCTGACACACAATAAATAAAATAAAATAATAAATAATAAAAGAAAACAGTAAATAATAAAATAATAAGAACCTTTTGAGGGAAGGATCAGTGTGCTATAATAGAGACATGATTGAAGAACTAGGAGCCAGGTAATGTAACTCCCTCTGGAGAAGCAAGGAATTCTTCTGAGATGACATTGAGTCTTAAGGAAGAATAAGAGTCTGACAGACAACCTAGGAGGCTTTACCCCATAGGTAATGGTGAACCAACAACATCTAATGAGAAGATTAGCTTTAAATTTAGGAAGTTAGGTCTGGCAACTGTGTATAAGATAGAGTGGAGCTAAAGGAGGAAAATGAGAAGTAGATCACTGCAATAGTTGAAGGGAGACATAATGATTAAGGTAGTGATCACAGGAAGAAAGAATAATGGTGATATCTTAGAATCATTTTCCAGTTATTTTCTATTAGGACTTGATGACGAGTCATATATGGATTTTGAAGGAGAACAGTCAGGACTGAATCGAGAATTCTAGCTTGGAAGATGAAGGAAAGGATTCACTCATTCATTCAACAAACAGTGAGTGAATACTGTATTCCAGACACACTGTCTCAAGTCCTGGGAGTGTAACAGTGAATAAAACAGACAAAAATACTTCCTCCCTAAAGAGAAGTTATGTGACAAAAATAAATGATAAGGAAAAATGTACACCATGTCAGGTAGTATTAGGAATATTGGAAAAAAAAAAAAAAGGAGGAAAGGAGGATAAGGAATACTAGTAGTGGATTACATTTTTAAATAGGTGGACAGGGAGGGTCTCACTTAGAAGAGACCAAAAAAGGAAGGATGAGAGAATGAGTCATGTAGATATCTGGGGGGAGAGCATCCCAGGCAGTAAACAGCAAGTGTAATGTGTTCAGTAACTGAAATAAAGAAAAGGGTCTCAATAGCTGATTTCTGTATGAATATGTATGTGTGTATAATAATGAGAAATATTGGCTTCTCTTTTAGACAAGCTAGGTATAAGGTACCTAAAGGAACACTCAAATGTAAATAGATTAACATATAAGGGTTTAGATCAGGAGCAAGATCAGTGCAGGATAAAAAAAAATTGGAAGTCATAATCAAGTACAGTACTCCAAATCCAGTACTCATTTCTCCACACCAGGAGGAAGCAATTTAAATAAACAGCACTTTTGTGTGAAAAATGCCAATTTGTGCCATGTTGACAACTGCATTTAAAAAAGAAAGATTTGGATTTTATAAGTAGCTCTGCTGTTGGTACACTCCATGAACTTCATAAAATGAAAACACATGGTCATATAACTATAATGTAAGCTCATATAGGCCTTACCCTTACATGCTAAATTCATGGACTCAGATGTGGGTTATATTCATTGTGAAAATGTCATTTATCCTTTGTCATTAGTGTAGCTGATGTGAGCCTGCCACTTCAGCTTTGACTGGGTACAGAAACCAGGCCTAAAGCCTGGGGACTTCTGGTTCAGCAGTTTATTGGAACTCCAGAAAGGAGACTCTGGTTCTGCACAGTCTAATACTCTCCTAGAACTGGAAGTGGGATTTTTTTTTTTTTACTACCATTTTGACATCCAGTAAGATAGGAACTTCCTAAGAGCAGAAATAAGAAAACCTTCTCAATTTATCAGGCTCATTCTTGACAGTTACAATTGTCAGACTATGTCGAATAAACATTCAGGGCAAACAAAACCAAATGGCTGATGAAGTATGGGACAGTTTATGCATTCTTTCCCTTCTTTCCGGCCATTCACTGAATGGAGATATTATTACAGAGAGAATTGTTTCAAGAAGAACCGTACTTGGGGCAGTCCAATTATCACTTCAAAATCTCCTTAAATTTTATTTTTATTTATTTTTAAAATATTTATTTATTTGTTTTAGAGAGAGAGAGAGAGAGAGAAAGCACAGGAGTGGGAGGGGCAGAGGGAGAGGGAGAGAGAATCTGAAGCAGACTTCACACCCAGCACAGAGCCCAATGCGGGGCTCGACCCAGGGTTCAATCCCACAACCCTGAGATCATGACCTGAGCAGAAACCAAGAGTCGGATGCTTAACCAACTGTGCCACTCAGGTGCCCCCAAAATCTCCTTAAATTTTAATATACATTTATTTGAATCTCCTTGCTGCAGGAGGAGGGTGGGGATAGGGAGGAAGAGAGTTTAGACTGCTTTGCAATGTCAGCCAAAAGAGTGGGAGAATGGTGTTCAGGGCTGAGGTTAAGGCAAAAAGTCTAAGGATTTGTCAGATCAGCCCTGGGTAATGGGCAAAGCCAAAATCTTAGCAGGGAAATTGAGACTCAAGTTGCTTATCAGGGAATCAGAAAGACCAAAGGTGGGACAAGAGCAGGTGCAAAACTGGGGTATAGAGCCCAGAGTTTGGGTCCTGGGAGAGAAGACTGAGTACCAACAGGTTAGAACCAATGAGGAACTCTTGAGGTTGGACCCCCAACGATGATGTAGATATCAGCTGTCACTTGTGATTTGCTCTTAGGGATCATGGAACTTATACCCGACATGAGGATTGGTTAGTAAATGTGAGCTACTAATTTGTAAGAGACATTGGATAGTTATGATCTTTTGCATACATTATCCTTCTTTCAGGTTTTGTTTGTTTTGTTTGCATCTTAGAACACTTCGCTTTAGATTTTTCCTTTATCTAGAATGTTTTTAGTACCTAGTTATCCCATGAATGACTGACACTCCTACTTGCCATTCAAATCTCACTTAACATGTCATTTCTAGAAAGAACTTTCCCTGACTACACAATCTAAAGAAGCTATCTAGGCCAACAGACACATGAAAAGATGCTCAACATCATTCATCGTCGGGGAATGCGAATCAAAACCACAATGAGATATCACCTCATACTTGTCAGAATGGCTAAAATCAAAACCAAAGAAACAAATGTTGATGAGGATATGGAGAAGGAACCCTCTTACACGGTTGGTGGGAATGCAAACTGGTGCAGCCACTGTGGAAGACAGTATGGAGGTTCCTCAAAAAATTAAAAATACAACTCCTTTATGATCCAGCAATCACACTACTGGGTATTTACCCCAAGAATACAAAAACACTAATTCGAAGGGACATGCACATCCTATGTTTATTGCAGCATTATTTACAATAGCCATACTATGGAAGCAGCCCAAGTGTCCATTGACTGATGAATGGATAAAGATGTGTTCTATACAATGGAATATTATACAACCATAAAAAGAATGAAATCTAGCCATTTCAATGACATGGATGAATCTAGAGAGTATAATGCTAAGTGAAATAAGTCAGTCAGAGAAAGACAAATACCATAGGATTTTACTCTTATGTGGAATTTAAGAAACAAAGCAAATGGACAAAGGGGGGAAAAAAGAGACAAACCAAAAAATAGACTCTTAACTATAGAGAACAAATAGCTGGTTACCAGAGGAGAGGTGGGTAAGAGGATGGGTGAAGTGGGTGAAGGGGATCAGGTGTCCACTAGTCTTGATGTAAGTAATGTATGGAACTGTTGAATCACTATATTGTACAACCGAAACTAATATAGCACTGTCTGTTAACTACAGTGGAATTAAAAAATAAATTAAAAAATATAAAGTAGCCATCTAGGATCTTCTCTATAATATCTTTTTATTTTAACTTTTAGCATAGGACCCACCACCGCTAACATTTCTTACCTCCCTCCGTGCCTCCTTCACTTCCTTCTCTTCATTCACCTCCCTGCACTAGACTGGGAGGTCCATGACAGCATGAACCTTGGCTGACTCATTTACCATGGTAGCTTAAGCACATAGAAAAGTACATGATTCTAAATATTCCTCAGTAATATTTTAATTAAAGCATAAATGAATGGATTATTGCTGAACTAACTAGTATTTCTTAATTTTGCTTGTTTTAAGGTTTTTTTTTTTTTTTGATTCTATAAAAAGGAGCCATCAAGGGATCCTGCTGCCCCATCCTAGAAGGAGAATAGACCAATATTTATATCCTGACCACCATATGTCCACTTATCTCTTAAAGGTATCTATATTTTATACCATTGCAAATACGTTGTGTTAGTCATTCATTTCTTAGCAGTAAAATGCTCTATGAAAAACAACTGCTAACTCTTTTCATTTATTCCAACCCCCCAGCAATGCCTCGAAGATTCTTCTAAGAAAGAGAAAGCAGATACCAAATAGTGGCTCATATAAAAGCATCTTCTTCATCCTGAATCTGATATTTAAATGGTTGATATGAAGAATGCTGGAGAAATGTAGTTAGTATTCTCATACACAGAAGAGATTTAACTTTATTTCTAAGTAAAAAAGGTTACAATCTCAAAAAAGGGAAGTATTTTGTGTCCCTGACCATTTCAAGAATCTAAACCTAAAGCCAAATCAATAGTGTTTCACAGTTTCACAGCCTCCGTCTTACCTAGCTCGCAGCTCTGCACGCTAACCCTAAGATTCTCCCCTAGAATTACCTGGGGGCACATTGAACTGTTACAGATGGTGGCCCACTCAGAGATTGTACTGATCGAAGTGGGGCCAAGGCATTTAAGAGCCTGAAATTCTCATTACAGCTAACTTTTAGGAATGATAATTTAAGTATTGTTTATAATAGGGAGAGATAGAAAATGATTTAAATATCCTTAAAATGTTGTTTTCGTGGCAGAGGTAATGAGGCAGAAAAGTACTGACAACATATTGTAGTATGAAAAGCTCAGGTTTACATGAAAGAACAACAAACAAATGGTCCTGCTCCAAGTAGATGTATGAAAGTTTCCATAGCATGCTCTCAATTTTTCACTCAAAAATAAAGTTAGCTGAATTTGACTTCTCCGTGACTCCTAATTGGTCTTCCTTTGTGGAGTGTGTATGAAAAATAATGGATGAGAAAGAGAGAGAGAGAGAGAGAGAGAGGGATTTTTAGCAGCCGTGCCGTGCCGCTCACTGGGACTCCTAGGATGAATCTGGATGCTAAATTTGGAGGTGCCTTACATTGCCCAGACTCCTAGAGGTGCAGAGCTCCCAGACCGGCTGACTGAGGAGGAAGTAGACAAAGGGAATATGTCACCATAACCTTAGACTCAGGGGCACAAGTTTTTAAACTCCAAAACCCAAAATGCTGCTAAAAATGGAACAGTTGATAAACTCAGACTGAGCACCTTGGGCAGTTTGATCAAAGGAAGAACAAGGTGTGGTTAAATTTGTCAAATAAAACTGACGGGATTTCCCACCCCCCACTCCCCATATTTAAGAAGGTTGAGGGAGAGAAATGACCGTCAGGACTTTTGTCATCCTTTCTTGGGCTTCCTGGATCCTCAGGACAGATGGAGCTCTGCTGGGCCCACTGTGGTGTGTCATTACCTGTGCTTTTAGACTAAACTCAGAGGAAAACAAATGTCACACCTAAAGACTTAGGGAGGAATTGCTCTGACCACATTTTAAAGGTGAAGTGGCTTAGGCCCAGGGAAATCCTGTGATCAGATACAGGCTGAGGGCCAGTCCAGCTGAGCCTCCTGTCCACCTACTGCATTCCCACCTCAAACGTGTCAGGGCAACTGTCTCCTAACCCAATCACGTCTGAGCAGGGACAAGTCAAAACACCGAGCTGGGAGGGAACCTGTGAGCACAGGACAAATTCTATCCTCTGAGTTCTAGAGATGGGGAGAGAGAAGCTCCTGTGTGCCATGCTTTGCTACCTCAAGGATGAGCAAAACATAGACCCAAGACCTGATTTAGCCTAGCTTACTAATGTCCTAAGATTTTTAGGAACCCAGAAAAAAAACTAATCTAAAACACAGAGCCTACGAGGTTGAATTTTAATCATCTCCATTAGCATTTAGTAAGGACTCAGGATTTTAGTATCCTAGTCCTGTCAAAATTGATGTAAAGCAAGTGTACACAAGGACAGAGTCAGGGGGCACCTGGGTGGCTCAGTCGTTAAGTGTCTGCCTTCGGCTCAGGTCATGATCCCAAGGTCCTGGGATGGAGCCCTGCATTGAGCTCTCTGCTTGGCAGGGAGTCTGCTTCTCCTTCTCCCTCTCTCTCTGTCCCTGCTCTCTATCTCTCACATGCACGTACACGCTCTCTCTCTCTCTAATAAATAAAATCTTAAAAAACAAAAAAAGACAGAGTCAGGAGGGCAAAAGTTTAAGCCTTTCATTAAAAAAAAAAAAAGGCATTTGAAACAGTGCAAGTCCTCAATACTGGACAGGGGGCTAGTGTATGTTGGGAGAGTTTGGACCTTAGAACGAATTGGAATACATACGAAATAACCAACACAACATCTGTGTTTTCCTTGGAGGAATATATTCAGTAATAAACCAGGTATTTTTATTCTATTCTACTCCTATTCTATTCTATTTTATTCTACTCTGTTCTATTAATTTGGTCAAGGTTAACAAAGGCTGAAACTGCAGTTGCAAATTCACTTTCCCAAGAAGTAAGGAAGTGACCCATTAATTTTAACTTTCTAAATTATAGTTAAAAAAAAAGAAAGAAAGAAAGAAAAGGAAAAGGTGACTGAAACCTTAATGCCATATGGAAATGAGAGCAGAGAGAGAGATTTATTTCCAGTTTTGAAAGGTAATAAAAACAATTGGTGGGAGGGGAAAATAACATTATACTGTGGGTGGCAGATTATTTTGAAGTAATCATATACTAAGGGGTAAAATTGTATGAGGTTTAGAGAAGTTTACTGATTTTCAGATACTCAATTGGTTAAGGGCCAACAGGTTAGTATAAACTGAATAAAAAGATGTTGTCATTTTCTCCCAACAAATTAAAGAGGGCTCTAAAGGTAAACTTGCTTTTTTTTTTTTTTTTTTAATGTCTGTGACATAAGTGGTGGTGTATCTCACCTGCCATCAAGCTGGATCACTGTGGATAGAACTGGTTGGTAAACATCATGCTGTATTATGTATTTCCAGAGATATTACCTCTTATTTATTTGGTCAGAAGATGGTAATCAACAGACTAGTGCTCTCCTGATACAGGAGGGAGCAAAATGGGAGATCAAATGCTTTTTACCCTCTGCAAATAACTGTCTGCAAATGCACAGGTCTGTCAGGATTCCAGAAGATAGTGAACGCTCCACAGCTGGGGAAGCCCTGCTTCTTCAACTCTGATGGCTGCATCTTATTGTCAGGTGCAAATTATTTAGCAACTGCCACATTAGTTATAGGTACGAATTGCACAAATTAATTTCATAAATAATTCATTTGGGGGGCTATGAATTAAAAGTATACCACAGTAAAATAAAAATTTATTTCTGCAAAGCTGATAATGATTGATAGATTCAATTTCTTTTTCAAACAAGACTTTTAGAACGCAGCCTGTGGCTTTTTAAGGGTTAGAACCAAGAGTGTGCAGAGTACAGTGAAGAAAACAAGTATCCAGATAATCCATGAGAATGCTCTAAAATACAAAGAGCATTGAGGCAAATACGTAGGGATTTCTGGGGAGAGTTGTCCAGATAATTATATCACTTTTCCAATTCACTTTGGGTATAGAGAAAGACACCCATGTAATAAGTAGAAATCTCCTAATGTGGACAAATTAAAAAAAAATTTTTTTTCTTCATGATAGATCTGAAATATACAGACTCAGAAGTATTTTGATAGAGAAGATAGTAGGTCTTGTTTGAACTGAGTGGCAGGCTGTCAAACAATTTCACCAATCAAATCACAAGAATATGACTCAGGTACCCCATAATTCATTTTAGAAACTTGAGACACAAGCAAAAATCTCACTTCCCCACAGTAAGACATAAGAATGTCACTGCGGACCTAAGAGAAAGACAGTCGCAAGTTTGTTTGCTAGTAGACTCCTAGGGAGCTGAACACAAAAATCCGATAAATAATTAGCTCTCCTGTGACAGGCTTCTGAATTACTGTGATACATTAATTGGACAAAATTAGCATGAATTAAGGCAAATAAGTATAACATGTAATTTATTACTTACTAAGCATGGTGCTGCAGTGGAAGCTTCGAATTTCCCTTAAGATTGCTTTAACAGCTATAATGCATTCCTTAATTTACTCTGTGGAAAATCAATTTTTTCAGAGTTCATTAAGCACCAATATGTTACAATGCAACTCTCTAGAGCATGGAGCCTCAATACATTATGCAAATCCATGCCAGTGTGGTACCAATATGTAAATAGCAGTAATATTATTGTCAGCCTCCTATTGATAAGTTTCACCAAGATAAGAACACCTAGAACTTCTTGCATCTGTTGACTGTGTGTGTTAGGGCTGTTGCATGCTGTCCTTTGCTAACTATAGCACCAATATTCTTGCAGGATGTATCAAAGCTTTTGTCAACGGCTAGCAGCGGTGTAATTTCTTTCTAATCCCATGTCTTGAATACCGAAAAACAACAAATCAACAAGTGTTTAGTAAGTACATAGCATGGGCCCAGTGGAGTTGTTTTAAAATTTTAATTGATTCTGTGCCTCATATACCTCATTTGAGCCAGAGAAATAATTAAGGCTATCAAAGCCACAATTTCCTGGAAATATATTTCAAATCCTCATTTCACTTGGCATCAGTTATGTAGGTTACATTACTACCACCGACAAAAAAATGCAACACATGATTTGACTGAAAATAATTTTGTAAAAAGCAATGTATTCAAGAGAAATGTAATCAAAAGCATTTTGGTTGGCTCTAAACTTTGATATGAAGAATGTTCTTATAAAAAATGAATGTCCACAATACCTTGTTATTCAAGGGTTGGTGATTTCGGTGCCCTGATAGTAGCAGTTCCATAACAATTTATGATTCTTCCCCCACCCCCCAATTTTTTTCCTGTTTTAATTTCTAATTAATTTCCCACCATTTATTTCTCCGGGTTATTCATAGCATTAAAAATCAGCTAAATCTCATGGTACTGATGTGGCTCAGTTGGCTAAGCGCCAGATATCTGACCCTTGATTTCAGCTCAGGTCATGATCTCAGGGTTGTGAGACGGAGCCCCACAGCAGGCTCCATGCTGGGTTTGGAGCCTGCTTAAGATTCTCTCTCTCCTTTTCCCTCTGTCCCTCCCACCCCTCTCTCCCACTTAAAAAAAAAAAAAAATCAGCTAAATCTCAATGTTCAATAACAGTATGCTATGGACTAAATTCTGTCCCCTTAAACTTCATATACTGGTGTCCTTACCCCCAATATGATAGTATTTGGAGATGGGGCTATTGGAAGGTAATCAGGTTTGGATGAAGTCATGAGGGTGGGGCTCTCATGACACAATTAGTGCCCTCAGTAAGAGACACCAGAGAGTTTGCTTTCTCTTTCTGTCTCTATCATTTGAGGACACAGCGAGAAGGTAGCCAACTACAGTCCGGGAAGAGGGCTCTCACCAGAATCAACCATGCTGGCACCCTGATTTCAGACTTCCAGCCTCCAGATCTGTGAGAAATAAATTTCTGTTGTTGATGCCACCCAGCCTATTATAGTATTTGGTATGGCAACCAAGCTAAGACAGGCTAAGAGTTGGAGCAATCTAAATGTACCCAATTTGGTGGATTACAAGAATAAATTATGTTAATTTTTAAATATTGATAAGGATTAGAAGGAAATAAGTTAACTCATAACTCAAAAATTGAAAAAAAGGAAAAACGGTTAGATTTAGTAAAAGAATAAAAGTTAAAAGCTACTGAAGTAAAAAACCAAATTACTGCTAAATTCCATACAATGTAATTGCCATGAAGAAATCACTAACATATTATCTCAATGAATAGTAGACATCACGTTTTCATACTGAATTCTTAGTACCTAGAGCAGAATGAAGGAGGGCTGAGTTAGGAAGCTGGCTGGAAAACTAATATTTAAGTATTTAAACATTATTAGGACACCAAAATATCTCTGGAAACATAACAAGATGGTTTAACTGGCATTTCCATATTTTTTCTCAGGGAGAATAGCTTATGAGGCAGAAAGAAATATTTACTATGAACTGGAGGGTGGACTAAAACATGGTGGACTCTCTTAGGCAGTGGGTGTAGTTCTCTTGGGGCTTTGGTTTTGCTGAATGAAGTGTGCATCTATGGGACCAAACTGACTCACCTGGACTTAGAGGAAGTACTGAGCTCCATCTCAGTCTACCCATCCAGAGTGATAGTCCCTGTCCTCTTTCCTTCATGGAATTCTCAGGCTCTACATACATGGCAAACAAATATTTTAAGAATATCACTTGTAAAGGATACCCTAGTGATCATGACTTGCTCTACATCCTACTGTTTCCACAGTTCTTTTGTTCCTGCAACACATAAACATTGTTAAGCTGTTGTTTTCTGGAATTTTTCAAATCAGATGGGAAGAAATCAGGTATTAAGGAGGCTGAGGGAAATTACATTTGCTTGTGAACGGTTTGATTCCCTGACTTCATGACTTTATATGGACATAGATTCTGTGGGGATATCCTGACACTTCTAGAAAGTTCTGACCACATTTAAATTTTGGCAATAAGAGCTCATAAATATTTATTTTACAATGTAGGTTTTGTGAATGTGTTTGATAAATATGATGGTAAGGTCAACAAAGCATGACTCAAAAAGTATTTACAGGACAGACTGTTGTGATATATTGTATCAGACCTCTGATTTATAAAGAGTAACTAGAAATGAATTTACATGATAAAATACAGCATTTACTGCCTGTAGAGTGTATAAAATACCAGCTCAATCTGTACTGCAGAAGTTTATGTGACTTTTACTACAGGTACTTTGGTTGTTTCTATCTACTTGATAGTTATTTTTTAGGGTCCTTGTAATATTCATTTTAAAAATTAATACTCTCAGATCAGATTAAAATCTAAGTATCTGGTAAATAACATATATCATGAATGATTACATTGTGAATGAGAATGTTTTTATGAGTGTAATAGCTATGAAATCTTATGATTTGTCATCTAAGTAGTGCTATTGGAATGAAAGCTTTTAAAGATACCTAACTTCTCACTTTCCTAGCAATTTTTTTCTTTTTATATAACTATGTTTTCTGAAACTGCTTTGAATAATAATTTTTTTTTGGTCTGAGATTAATAACCACATCTGCTATTTGTTTACTTCTGTGCTTAATAATAATATTGTCATATTTGCATAGCACTTCTAATGTTGTGCTTTCACATCTTCTGTGACATGCTGTGCTTACAACAACCATCGTACAAATAAATCACTTCCTAGTTAGGATCATTTTATGTGGCATTTTTTTTTAACGTAAACATTGAGTCACATGTCTGGATTTGCATCCAGTCTCTGCTTTCCACCTATACATAAGGCATCTGAGAATATCTAACAAGTATTGAACACTTACAACTGCCAGCCATTATGCTTTACATAGTTTATTCAATTTAATCCTCACAATGACCCATGGCATGGGCACCTTTACCATTTTTTCTTTATAAATTAGGAAATTGAGGCTTAACGAGATTAAGTAATTGCCCAAGGTTACAGAGCTTGTAAATGACAGAGCTAGTAATGGGACCCGGGCCTGCCTGAGCTCAAAGCCTGATTTTAATCATAACACAACTGCATCTCTTTAAACCATGGTGACTAGGGACCTGGTTCCCACAGAATAACACTTTGTTGTCATGATCTTTCCTACCTGAGATCTAAACTGTGAGCTTTATGGGAGCTGCATGGGGAGCTTAATCATCAGTTCTTTCTTATAACCATTCATTGTTCCCTTTGTGGGAAGATTTGCCAGAAGGTTTTTCACCATCTCCATTCTAATGCTACCCAATCAAACAGAAAACAAAAGTCCTAAAAAGAAAATTTCAAATTTCTCAGTCTTAACGTTCCTGATTCTTCTTCCTCAGGGATTATATTTGGTTCTAAATGAGAGAAGTTGGATTCAGAAGCAAACACCCAAAGTGTGATGAGAGAGAGGAGTTTCAGAGTAAACTAAATAGGGCAGCTCAAGGAAGCCCAGTGTGAGGAAGGCAGTCAAAGGTGATGCGTATGGGGCCATGAAGACAGAGCTGACTGTCAAGTCTGAAAGGGAAATGAGAAAAGTCTCAAGACTGGGGGAAAGCCGTGGGAGAAGAGCTTTGGTGAGCAATTTAGATCTGAAGAAGCAGTAGTGCACTTGGTGAGGAATGAAGGTGAGCAAAGATTAATCAACTTTCCTACTGTGTGCTAGGAACTTTATATGTGTGCTTTGTGTGACTCACCCAATAACCTTGTTAGTTAGGAATAAGCATTCCTATTTTATAAAGAAGGAATGGACCCAGAGAAGCAAACGAATTAGGATTAGGAAGGAGTGTTATCTTTAAGCCAATGACTGACAGACTCTACAACCTATTCCTTTCCCACTGCCCTGAACATAACAAGATCAGAGTTTTCCCTTTATGTAGTGCCTGTATTGAACAAGTAAAAATGTGACTCCTGAAGAAACTTGTCTGTACCTCTAGACAGACCCATAACTAAAAACTCCACAGTTCTACTAGAATCCTTCCTTTCTTCATTCCTTTCCTCATATTTAGTTGGAAGCCAAGTTACATGAGTCTACTTCTAAAATGGGTCTTAAAATGTTATGCTCCTTTTCATTCCCATATCTAAGACCCTGGGAAATGTCATTGTCATCTATTACCTGGATGTCAGATGCCTGCTAACAGGGTTTCTGAGCAAATCTTCCTTTACCCAATCTCTCCTTATAACTGCCACTCTACTTATTAATAATCATCCGTGACTCTCTCTTAGTTACAGAATTATTCCAAATCCCATAGCATGGCAAATAAGGCCTTTCACCATCAAGCCCTGATCTATTTTATCAGCCTCATGTCTTGCTTCTTTGTTTCTGAACAGTAATGCTTCAGTCCATCTGGATTTATGTACAGTTAAGAGACTTGAAATTCTGAGATTTCCCCCTATTGGTAAGGTAGCAAGTTGACTTGCAATAATTTCATGAGTTTTGTCAAAACACAAGACATTCTTGGATCAGAGACACAGGACTTTATTACTCACAGCAACAGTAGTAGCTAAAATATCAGTATTTTTTTTGCCTTGATTCCCAAAGCCCTAATTCCTACATAGTGACTCAAAGGGGTTGGGTGATATCTGCACATGCAGTGGGTTGAAACCCCCTGAGCTTAGGATAATTAGTACTTTATAATGGGCAGTAGGCATGGCAGCTTTTGCTCTGGAGGGAATTAATAATCTTCATTTTATTGGGTAATAAGTATGCCTGTCTTTTGATCTGGAGAGAGACACTATCTCTACCTCATTTCCCTGTAAGGCTAAGGGGAATGGTGATCAAATCATGGTAGTAACAGTCTTATGAGGAATGGTAGACCTAGCAGTCAGTTAAACATAAGACTTGCAACAGTTTGGGAGAACTGTATCAGGGTGTTTTTGTTCATGAGGAAGCAGCCAGAGTGGCTGACAAACCACAGATCTTAAGGTTGCTGTGTCTCCACTAAGGTTCTCATTCATTTTCCTTCTAATTCTCACTCAAATGCTCCTCCTCCACAGCAGTGAAATCAGTCTGTCCCATACCCATAGCTATAATGTCATATTTTTTTCTCAATTATCTCCTATTTACATCCTAATCTTTCACCTGGAAACAACAAATAGAAGAGGGACAAGTGCAGTTTTGTAAAATTTACAGGGACACATTATGCCACCCGCTTTGGCCTACGTGGGCTATATTACTGGTGAGCAGCAGGCTTAAATGAGTATTCATTTTCTTATAATCTGGGATTACAATAATCTAATAAGAGAATCTAGGTGACTGAACCACAATTACATTTGAATCCTCTCTTTACCAGGCAGATTCCCAGAAATCAGAGCAACTAGTATATGTGGGGTTACTGTTAGGGGAAAGATGTATCATGTCAGGAATGGTCACGGCCGAATGCCAGATTTTCAAAATAGATCCACATAATGCCCCAGCTTTTATGACCTGCTCATTGCTCATGAAGCAGGTAAGAAGAAACCATCTCTTTCTGAGACAATCAACTTCAGTGACTAAACTGACTTGCTAACACTGTGGACCAGGAGGAGGAAGGGAGGTAGAGTCACAAATATTTTTGACTTGACATTTAAGGAAGCCTTTGCAGTGCTCAATAAAATCAAATCCTGTGTATGCATGGAAGATCTGTTGAATATTTGCAATATAAACCCACTGTTGAGTGGCTTTTTCAATAAAAGGTAAAGCATTATCAAAATGTAAACTGTTCGAGAAGCCAAAATACAACACAGATCATTTCAAGGACCATAATGGTAGAGCCAGAATCAACTGATCTGACTAGCACAACACCTTACCAAAAAAGTGTCAACAATGGTGAGGGCACCACCAATAGCTCCGAGAGGGAGATCAGGGTTCTTACAGAGTTAATCTGCTAGGGGTGAGAGGAAGCAATGCCCCTTGTAATGTGTCTTCTTCCCCTGTGTGACAAATGGATCAAATTTGGCAGAAACCACAGTCTGGCATGCAGTAGAAGCATCTGTGTCTGAACATAGTCTTATTCTGTGCTTAGTCTACGACCGTGGATGTTTCCATTTTCATTAAGATGAAGGATCCATTGTAATCATGGTAATCTAGGTGGTTTGGGGTCTAATAGCAGCTTGATTCCATTCAGTCTCATTAAGGAACTGTAGCTACTGTCCATGTGTGACCCAAACAGTTTGATCAAAAGTCACAATTTATTTCCACAGTTTACAACCTCAAAAAGGAGTGTCTTTAATCTGATAATCTATAGTTTTCCACATGGCAGACCAAACATTGGCAATAGCCTAAGAGTTAGTAAAAAATATAACAAGATTCATCAAGGGGAGTAGAAATGAGAACAGCTTTGCCTTACTCCCACTGAGCAGAACTACCAAGTCTATTTTGGTCCTAGACTAGCTGCTGCTGAGTTGAACAGCCACATCAGCTCAATGGACCACAAGATTCAGTTCAGCTGAACTATCGGTGAACCAGGCCCAGAAATTTATGGTGATTCAGGTGGCAGAGTGCAGAAGTTTCTTCCAAAGGGAAATCTGCCACTGTTTCATATAAAGCTGAGACGCTGGGGCCAGACTGCCCTATTCTTGGCTACACCACTTCCATTTGACAAGGAAGGCCCATTGGATCTTTCCTGTCTTGTTAGTCATTGAAGCTAAGCTGACCCACCCTAAAATGGTAATATCAGACCAGAGAGTTACAAGACCTCCTTGGGTCAGGTGTTCTGTTTCAGTAGGAACCTAGCAGTAAGTAATATCTGATTTTCAACAAGATGGGCCTGCTAGTCATGTCAGGAAGGTTGCCACCCCTTGCCAGAGGCTCCCATTGGCCAAATCATCAGTCACAGAGATCTAAAGCTCAAAGAGGTCACGAGAACTATGGGGCTCCAAAGATAACAGCACTTTCCTACATGCAGCTCTTCTTAATCAGAAGAATCCCATGGCCACTTTTGGGATGGAAAGGCACAAGCAAATAATATCTCAATTACTACTCTACATTTTGATGTAGAACAACAAAAGCATTGAGTTGGCCCAAATGGCCATGCCCATATGTCACGCTTCCCTTCACTTCTCTGAAACCTGCCTAAATCTCATTAGCTTGTGAGACATACAGTGGAAAACTTTTACCTACCATCTACTATTTTCCAAAAACACAACCTGGCTTTATGCTCTGGGCTACTGTTCATGTGAGTCCCTGTGCCTGTATGTCCTTCTCATCTCTTCCATCTGGCAAGTTTTGTTTCTTTTAGAGCCCATCTCAGGGGCAGCATTCCCTGTGAAGGCTTTGCTAACTACATCCATTGGGCTGTGCATACTGCTGGCCCTTCAGGTTTCCCATGGCCCATTTCTGTTATGGTAGGAATCACACTGTGCTATAATTATTTGTTTACAATACTAGCTAGCCTGTAAAGTTTTCAGGGCAGGGGCCATGTCTTGCTCATTTTTCTATCCTTGCTGTCTGGTGTCTGTTTGTGTACTGAGCACCCTTCTGAGTGGCGGGATGAGTATCAAAAATCAGCTTCTACTGGAATAGCGCCAGATCTACTCTTCACTTTTTGATATCAAACAGAAATAGGTCTTAATTCTGTCCTGTTACCAGAATGAAATATATTTTCCTATCAAAGCAGAGTACAATAAAATAATAATGTTAGGAAAGCAAACTTATGGTTCATAGATTAGATTGCTGATATGATACTAAAAAGTAACAGGATTCAAGTCAGTTTGCCTAACATCAAACCTGCTGCAAACCTCATTTGGCTAGAATTAGTTCCGATAGACAAATTAAAAATAGCAATACTAGAGTTTTGGGGAAGATGGCAGAGTAGGAGGATCATGAGCTCACTTCATCCCACGGACACACCAAGAGAACAGCTACATCTATGCAACTAACTCTGAAAACAGCCTGAAGATGCAGAACAGACCTTCCACAGCTAATCACAGAGGAAGGCCACATTGAAAAGGGTAGGAGAACAGAGACGTGGTTAGGAACCAAACCCTGATGAGACTAAACATAAGCAGGAGGGACATCACAAGCAAAGAGAAGTAAGAGGATCTAGAAGTAAGAGGATAGGCACTCCTGGCACTGGGGGCCCACAATAGGAAGATGAGTTCCCCTATTTTCTGGCTTTGAAAACCAGAGGGGCTTAACTCTGGGAGATTTAAAAACCAGGGGTTTAACCCTAGGAGAGCTGGAGATTGATAGGAGTCTCTGCCCTTAAACCACCCCCCAAATAACTCACCCACTTTGGCAGGTGTGCCTCCAAAGCAGCTCTTGCCCTGCTATACTGAGCAGGCAGCCCAGGCCAGGACTGGCACCACCCCAAAGTGACTCCTACCCCTGAGAAGAGGGGGATAATCCCATATACCAGCACACCCACAATTCCTGCAGCTGGGCCTCTTAGCTGGCTGTGCAGGAAGCAAGCCCTGCCCTTTGGGGCACCTGCAGCTATGGTAAAGAGGGTAATTGCAGATAGCTAGGCTGACTTCCAGCCCCACCCACCAATGAGTCAGCAGGGGCTGCAAACAGGCCTTTCAACAGCATGGGGAACAAACCTTGTCTAGTACACCCACAGCAGGCAAAGCAGGTCATTGCGGCCATCTGGACTGAAGGCAATCATGGTTCAGTCACAACAGGAGGGCACATTGTACTATAGACACC